CAAACACATAATATAGAAAATTTGAAACAACCTATTTAATTAAAACACTTATTATATAATCTTATTATGTTTGAAAAATATTTACTATATATATCGTAAATATGTGATTACTATAATATATATTAATTTACAAGTGAAAACAAAATGTTTATATAACTAACTATAAATGAAAACAAACACCCGCGCGGTTGCGCGGGTCAAAATCTAGTAGATAATTAAATTACTGAATTTGCAAGATTATTTGCTTACTAAACTGTTCAATTAATGTTAGTTTGTCATATGTGCAATTTTGCTTACTTAGAAAAAAAATATGCAAAGAATACGCCAAAACACAAAAAAATTCAACTTGGCATAACTATCATCAAAAGTCAAAATTTACACTAATCCCTATTTCCATCTTAATATCTTAATCTCTTTCCTTTATCTGGCTCAACCTTTCATTAACCTAATAGATTTACACACTATCACCCTCCACTAAAGACATTTAACCAACTTGGCAACATAATACAATATAGGGGCATTATTCCCAAAAGAGATATTCCTTGGCAATTCTGTCCGCCACTCTATTTTATTCTTTAGCTTGAAAGACTACCTTGTGGTCGCCAATCTTCAAGAGCATGAGTTGAATATATTGGATATGGGTGTTGAGATCAGGGCATGGTTCATCTTCCTTTAAAGCTTTGATGGGATCCTTGGAATCAATTTAATGAATCACTTCACAAAACTGAACGTAGAACCTTAACTCTCTTGGTAGATCACTTTCTATTTTCTCTTGGCAGATCACTTTCTATTTTCTCTTGGCATATTTGATTAAAGCCCACTTTACGACGTCTTCTAAAAAATAAACACAAATATACTTACCGCATCACAAATTGCTTTCTTTTTTTGTGCCCCAATTGCTGTATCACTAAAATCTATTTATCATTCCACCTTGAAAAATCATGTAAATCTTTTTGTCCACTATCACGTGTTGTAAGAACTTAAAAAAAAAAGAATAAGGCGATAGTAACATGATCATATTCAGTTCTCAAAAAAAAAACATGTTCATATTCAAAGATTTGTTTGCTTTTGAGTGTTGATTCACACAACACAAACAAATTTATATGATCAGGTCATCGGAGAATCATATTTGCGAAGGATAAAAGATGTTCCAGATCAGGAAATAAATAACTTGGTCGTGGATTTTGCTTCTTCAAACATTACTTTGTTTGTATTGCTAACTTAGAAGCCATAACATTCAACTCAACAGAGATATCAGAAGAAAAGGTTCCCGATTTGCTGGTAATTCTGAAGATTCAAACAGAAAACTAATAAAATGTTACCAGTAGGAGCTGCTGATTCAGGCTCCTTGATCTCGACCACAACATACTTGTACATCAAGGATGCTTTAGCTATGTCTGGCGTGCTCTAAGTGACATCTCACAACCTTAAGAAAAAAAAAACTATTTTTCACTTTTATTGACTAACCTTTTATTCATTTTGGTAGAGTCTGTTTAATGGCATCCACTTTCAGTGAAAGTCTTAGCTGAGTGCGTCCACCTCAGGAAACAATACCTTCTTCCACAGCCACCTTATATATTAAAACGTTCAATGTATTAGTCCCAAACGGAACATATCAAATATTATTTGCTTTGAGATTATTTCACTACCTTCGTTCTAAAAGGATGGAAAGCCTTATGCAACTGATAATTTCTGAGTAACTGAATCATATGCTATGTTCTTCAAAGAAGCTAATTACGCTGCCCCCAGTTTCAGATCCGAAACGCTCATATAATCGATCCACTTCCTTGCAGTAAACTTCCCTGAGGCTTCTCTCCACATTGTTAATGTTTAACAAAAGTTATACCCCTTACGGAATACACCTTTGCCAATGTCAAAAGGAAGATATCTCTGAAGAGCATCTTGATCCTCAGTTTTTAGGTTACGAATAGCAGCTAGCTCATAGATGACCCCTGGTAAGTTTACAAATCCTCAATTATATAGAGATCAACAATCCTTACAAAAAGCCGTCTACAAAAACAATCGATCCAAATCATATATGCAGCAGAACAAACAAAGCAGCAATTTAATATCCTAGTACATCTAGTAAACAGTAGTAATAAGCAAACTACCAATTCAAGTCGTCCAGAGACCTATCCAGAATTCCAGATAGTCATAGATACCAAAGGAGATAAAAACCTGATACAATTCTATTCTTGTGAGCTTCAGCGAAGTAGACCAAAATTAAGTATGTAATCCCATGTCTTGAAGAGAAGATAAAAATTACATGTAACTGATAGGCAAAGGAAAAAAATATTAACTTGATATCACAAAATATATAAATAGAGCCAATAATAGAAACTTACTTGCAAGGGTCAGCTCCTGAGTGTATTCTCAAACAATGGAGGAAAACTTCTGAATTTGATAAAAAGAAGAACCTGAAAGAACATAGCAAAGGGAGCAGCACACATAAAACTTCAATCTAAACCAGTTCAGACATGCTCTACCCACAATAACAATCTAAAAAGTAAAAGATTTTGACACATTGATAAGCTAAATTATCTCTGTCTCATAAAATCAAACTCTCGGGGAACTGCCAATCAATATTTTCCTCATCACAAAAATAGGGAATGTAAAATGAAATCAAAGTAGTGCTTAAAGAGTACATACTTTAAGCTAACAGTAGATCAATACAGCTATTTTAATATTCCCTAAAAAACACCGCCTTAAATCTCTCCAACTGTTGCAAGAGAAAGTAAAAGCATGTGAAAGTTGATCCGCTAAGCGAGCGGAAACATCGTTGAAGAACTGAGACATTGGAGCCTTTCTGTTGGATTAAGCCGAATAAGACGAATGAAAAGTAAATAAGTACTGTCGATGTTAAGAATAACATAAGACGAAAGAAAAATAAATAAGACTACAATGTTATAAATTAAATAAGTTTGAACAAAATTTTGGAGATCTCATGTACCTGGTCGTCGATGAAGAGCATTTCTAGGCCAATAAGCGTCTTCTTTACTGGGTTCCAAGCCTCCCAGAAATGAATAAGACGGAAGCGCAACTGAGTTTCATGGGGACCTAGTGAGATAACATTACTTTTTCATCATAGGTGGAGGAGACAGGGGACTTTCCATTTGGTTTCATCGCCATGGTTTGAGATTAGAGCTGTTCTAGGGCTTTGGTTTTTAAAGACCATTTTAATGGTTTTTGGTTTTTGGATCAGTATATCAAGAAGGAGGAAAAGAGGGAGGCCAGACGAAATCATTACGAAGGTACTGATTGATGGAAGTAAAGTACATTATTGATTGTTTAGAACTCAGTTACTATGTTCTTCGATCGGAGAAGACGAAGTGGTAGAGGGGAAGCTGATCGTTTCATCCTTCGTGGGTTGATTTTTTTTTTTTTAGGTTCCATTTGGTCTAAGAACAAATTATTTCAAACCCAAACGTAGAAGTCCACCATAAGAGCATGTTTAATGCAGACATGGGAACATAGGAAAATTTTATTATTATTTTTTTTTGTTTAAATTTGAAAAAAAAAACCAAATCAATTGTGGGCCGCCACTTGTCTATGGGGCCCACAAACAGTGCATGCAACTTACAACAAACGTCCCTTAGTGTAGCTCCGTAACACTCGTTCCTTGATAAAACGTTGGACCCCACCAATTCTTTATTAATTCTTTTGCTAAGAGATCAATATTAAGGGACAGCATTAAACATGCTCTAAAGTCCACCCGGGAAGCCTGGCTGATGTGTCAAGAAAATGCTTCTGATTGGCTGATTATTTTTAAGTATGTGGCAGCTCTCTCCTTTGAGCATTAAGCCCTTTTAATAGTGTAAGATGACATTAATAGATGATATTTCATCAATAGTTTTATCTGTTTTACGAAAATTCACATGTTTATTATGACCTATCTTCGTGTAAGTTTTTTTCTCTAATATTATGCATTATATATTTATTCTGAAAGGTTTGGATTACGGGCGTGTAGAAGAAGCCTATCACCTTTGCATGCCGAGATGGAAGGCCTACTGTGGGCAGTCTCATGTATGAGAAATTTGAGGATGATTTCAATACGGATTGAGATGGACTGTTCGGACCTAGTGGACATGTCTACTAGACCAGATGACTGGCCGGCTTTCGCGACAGAGATCGAGGTGTTTCAGCGACTACGGGAGGACTTCGAGGATGGGAGTCTATCTCATATTTCGCGGAGTAGAAATGGACGAGCGGATGCACTAGCTAAAGAAGCAAGGAGTAGAGACTATTCATTTTCCCATATAGATCAGATCCGGCCAGACGGAGTTTCTCCTCGAAGAATCGATTCGACTGGTTACCACTTGATTTAGAGTAAATGGACGGCTGACAAAAGAAAATATATATATATATATATATATATATTTGGACTCAACCCCATCCTCGTAGTATAAAATCATTAATAAACTATTAGACAAATCATTCGAGTGGATAGATTTTCACTTCCCAATTTTGTTATAATGTGGCTTTTAAAATGTTAAGATATCCATAGTTTAGTCATAAAATATAAATATAATATATATATATGTATATGTATATGTATATATTATGCATAAGAGGTATATTTTTTGCTGAAGATAAGAATACAATTATTTGGTCAAACAGAAAGTGATTTTTATTGGAATTTTGGCAAATGAGAGTTTTTTTCTAGTATTTTCCCATGAATTTGAATATATCTCTCAATTAAATATTGAGGGAAAAAAAGGAAAAAGAAAGAGCAAATGGTCAAAGAGATTTTTTTTTTTGAATTATACAAAAGTACCTGACCTCACCAAAATAGATTCAGACTATCCACGTGTTAGTAGTTTATGTTTTCGGTTCACGTGTCAGTTCCATGTCCCGGGCAACAAATTTTAAAAAGAAAATTTATACATCAACTTTAATGTCATCTTTCTCAAGAGTATGAACCTCTCATGATAGTACTCCAAAAACCACATTTCCCTAATTCACTATCTTTTTCCCTGAATTTCTCAATCGTCGTCAGAATCATGTACGACAACCCTTTTCTGAACTTACTCCGTTTAATATTCGTCTGCTTAATCTTGTATATCATCCTCCGCCCTCTCTACGATTGTTGTTGTCTCTCCCGCTCTAGGAGTCATCACATCCGCAGCCGTAACAACCGCTCTACAATGGTTTTCGTCTCCGCCAATCCTGCTCATACAGCCTCACGCGGTCTAGATCCCGCCGTCGCGAAGTCTCTTCCCGTTTTCATTTTCTCCGCCTGGACGCATAGGGATCCGATCGATTGCGTTGTTTGTCTCTCACAGTTCGAAGAGGGAGAATCGGGTCGGGTTTTGCCCGGTTGTAAACACGCTTTCCCTGTTGAGTGTATTGATATGTGGTTTCATTCTCATTCAACTTGTCCTCTATGCCGCTCTTTTGTTAGCCTCCCGCAACGACGTTAGAGGAGCAAGTAGCGATCGTCACGATCCCTCCTGAATCGGGATCTTCTGCGATGCCGTTGGAAGAAGCGCCGGTGAGTCAGATGCCATCTTCTACTCGGATGTTGAGCAGAGATGGAAGAAGTGCCCCGTCTTCATTTGTTGGAGCTCTGTCTCAATCGCTGTCGTCAAGCTGCGGGATAGTGATGACCGAATCGGATATTGAGCGGAGAGGAGAAGAGATTAAATGATTTCGGCCATGTAGAAGTTCCATTCCTTAGTGGTTTTGATTATTGATATTAATTAACAGCAAGTATAAACATGATTTAGAGCATTTTTATTGCTAAGAAATCTAATTAAATTTATCTACAACTCAATATTAAACATTCGGGTATCATACTAAGTTTCAGAGAAAGTCATTCATATAATAACTAAGCAGAATGTTTTGGGCATCCATTTCTGAGTGCATATTATTTAACTTTTTTAGTTTGGATTTTTTATGCAGTTTTCGGGTTTAGTTAATAATATTTTGTTTTTCAGGTAGATTTTATATTTTTCTTCTAATAGTTATTTGGAACAAAGTGTTACTAACTTCTTGGTGCTCATTGTGTATCCATGTTGATTCCAAGTTTGATTCCCATTCGAAACTAAATTATTTATACTGGTCTGGTGTAAATTTGGGTTTCAGATTAAGTGGTTAATATGGTGTGCTATAACAGAATTTTGATCAAGCTTATGGCATATTTTCGAAATAGTCCACTTCTTTAACATGAAAACTGACCGGATAAGCCAATATAGTATATAAACTTATTTGGAACCGAACTCATTTTAGATTTTGGTTAATAACATATGGAGTGTATGTATTTTGCTGTCAGGTATTTGGATATTTAATTAAGTCTGATCAAAAAAATATACACGTAAAAAATGATCAAAAGATTTCATTAAAAATGTAAATGATTCTTATATCCTTATTTATTGATATACATATAAAAATATAAAATTAGTTTTTTTCGTTTTCGGAAAAGATGTTTTTCAATTCAACTTTTTTATTTTTTCTTTTTGAAATTTGTTTTTAAGAAAATCCTTAACTATACCCCTATACCCTTTTCCTTCAATCTAAATTCTTATTATAAATCATAAATTAGTTAATTAGACGGGTTATTTTACCTTTTAAAAAAAATATTTTAATCATTTTAACCTTTGTGTGTGTCAGTGTGTGCTATATTTATAATAAAAAGAAATTTGTACTATCTTAAAGAATTTCTTTTTAAATTCGAAACTCATTTCTAAAACTAATTGAGATCAGGTATATAAATTTACGACAGGTGGACGAATAAGTTGAAATTGGTACAATTTTGGTGTTACATGAACTTTTAACATTCGAATTCCTTCAAAAATAAAAACAAGACTCCAAAAGCAACCTCTATGTTAACAGATCTTCAAAAGTGGAATTTTCAGTGTTATTATTACAACATACTACTACTACTTCAGACAATGACTTAATAATAAATTAGATAACAGACAGTTACAAGAGTTTAGTAACTGTCCGATTGAAATCCCACACAGCTAACTACATTCTAATCTGTTCACTCACTATCACAATCCTTTCTCTCAGCTTCCCACAGTGTTTTTAACTGAAGAGACCTCACTTACCTCTCCTACTACAACTACCTCATCTGTTCGACCTTTTCCTCTCTTCTTCCCGTTCGGTGTGCATCTCACCCCCACACTGTTGATCTTCAACGCAACTTTCCGTGTCTGGCTTGACACAGAAGACGTTCTGTTTGCCTTCTTAGGTGGTGGTGACTCGTGAGCTTTCTCTTTGGCTATTGGGGACTTAGCTCGTTTCCGAGGTAAATCCATTCTTCTTTTCTCACTCTTTCTGTTACCATCACTAAGTAACCGTACGCTGAAAGGATTAGCCGCTGTGTAACACACCGGTTCGCCTACAGAGTTCCCAGGTTTTTCGAGATCAACCTCTCCATTGTTCACCTGAAATAAAACATTAAATATCAAATGATGGTTTCTTGTTTTTTTTTTTGTGAACATACATGTCTCTAACTTACCAACTGGAGAAGTGCAGAGAAAGCTCTGGCTACATCGTGCTTCTCTTGGTCTTTCATTAGATCGGTAAAGGCCTCGACATGTCCACTCTCTTCATCAGTAAGCTTATTGAGAATCCTTTCACCGTATTCTCGAATGTCAAAAGGAGGGTGTAGCTCCTGATCATTAGAAAACAATGGTAGAAAAAAAAAGCATCAGAATATATCTGACTTCAGCACAGAAACTATAGGAGAAAGAGATTTTACTTGTTCTTCTAGGTTTTGCTCTATTTTCTGTTTCCATGATGAAACCCTAGCAGCCAGATCCGTTTGCTTCTCATTTTTAGCTATGTTTGCAAGAAGAGCATCCTACAAAAATACACAAGAACACTTTCAGCCTTTTTCTCAGCATACATTAGTATGATTACAATGAAAACCAATGTAAGTTACCAGGTGTGAGCGGCAAAGATCTTCCAAGCTTTCTTGACAATGTGAGTCTTCGTTTCCAAATCCATCATAGTTGGGGAAATCTGCAGCTCCACCATCATTCTGCACGAACTCAAATCAGTGGATAAGGGTTGCATATAATGTCACTGGAAACGTCATACTCACCATAACGGGAGCATCTTCATCCATGAAAGCAGGTTCATGATCATCACCGAAATCATGGAAGTCGCCATCATGGTTATCTTTAACGCCGTCCTTGTCATTGCCGTTAGCATCAGTAGGTAGGTTTCCCCCATTAACAAGCAATGCTCGAAGCTGAAACCAAAACTCTCAGTTTCTTTTCTTCATTAACTATCAGGTAAAGGTATAGAGAAAACACAGACCTTCTCGGTATAAGGAATGTCTTGTGGTTCTCTGTTATTTTCCCTAGCAGAACGGAGCTTCTCCCAAACTCCGGTGAGCTCTGTACTGATAGGACCGTTGGGTTTAGCAAGAGGAAACATGGAAGTGATATTGTCCTTGGTAAGGCTCCCTCCAAACTTTCTCAAATTTTTCACTGCCCAATAAATATAAAAGTATAACATGAGCTAGAAGTAAAGGTGACATCAATCAAAAAATACAATAGCAATGTCCCAACCTTTTTTGAAAGGCTTCACTTTCAACTTCCCTGCCTCATAGGGATTCAATGGCTTCCACGGATCATCTTCATCATCATCTGTATCATTCAAATCCATGGTTCCTCCATGGTCATTATCCATGTCAAAACCATGATCATTGTCTCCAAAGTCAGGAGGAGAAGGAGGATGAGAGCCTTGGTCACAGTTCTGAGCATCTGGACCCTTACTGCCCTGATTGTTTCCCAATGACGATCTACGGGCACTTCCTCCAGAACGTCCTGAGTGAAAACTTTTACGACCTGAGCTGCCTCTGTGAGAACTGGTCTTTCCTTTACCGGTATAGCTACCACCTAAAAATTCATTCACCGCTACAGCATCACATGGGTCTAATAGAATAAAGTCTCGGTAGAGATGTGTAGTTGCTAACTGCAAGACATGAAAGTTAAAAGAAAAAACGGAGTTCAAACCCACAAGCTTTTTTCTATTTTCCAATACTAAGCAGAAGATGCTATATATACCAGATATGATTCAAGTTCTCCTCCGTCACCACTAGTATCCAAGCAGTCACCTTCAAGAACAACTAGATTTGCTGGAGGCTTGACAAACTGACTTGGACAGGAATCTCCAGTAACCGAGTTGTCCAAGCTATTCTTTGCGTCAACTACATTGTTAACACTATATAGGGTTAAAAATCTGCTCTCTTGAGATGTTAAAAATATCAGAACTTGACCTACCTGGGATGTCATCTACATTCCAGAAGAGATCATTTTCTTCTTCATCAACCTGACGAGAGGAGCTTGCCTCAGCCTCACTTGAAGTAACTTTGGACTCTTCTTGCTCTCTGTTTAAAAAAATAGCAAGAACACCCGTGTTAAATGTATAACCTTTTATGTAAAAATACTATAAATGTAGAGTTTATTTGATTCAGATACAAATCTCAAAGAAATGCAACTGAAATCCAGAGAGTGTAAGATGACCAGAAGGTCCAGGAACTGACTATTAGCTACTCTGATACTAATAGTTAAATAAGAAATCGTTAAAATCACAGCTTAGACAAAGCAACTAAAACAGAAAAAAAGGAATTTTTAGAAGCAGTCATTTTATAAAAAAAAAAAAAAGTTCACTTAATCAGTCAACACAAAACAAACCCATAACACATAGAGAAAGATGAACTCTCAGTTAGCCCTTAAACCCTAAGAAGTTTGGAGTATCTAACAAAAGCACTAATCTTTAATAATGTTACAGTAGCTATGGTTATTAACTTAAGAGGAAAAAGGAGGAACCTTTGGTTGGATAGAAACTCCAATGTACGTAAGACCAAGTTGTACAAGTACTCCACTTTCTTACTGTAAACTTGAACCGAACCCTGAAGCAGCAAAGCAGCTACAACAACAAACAAAACAAAAAACACATCAAAATCAAATCTTTAACCGACCCATAAATCAAATTGGTGCAAAAAAGGAAGCACCTTCGGCGAAATTGACAGGCGAATCTTCTTCAGTTCCGGTGATTTCACCGGAGCAGATTTTGAGGAGGTACTCCTCTAGCTTCTCCGACAAATCGACTTCCCAATTCGCAACCAAATCTCTCTCCGGCTGTACTGTGTGAATCCTCTCGCCGCCGCCGTGGCTCGTCATTTTCTGTGAAGCCAAGAGTTCATAAACCCTAGAAACAGTGAATTGGGGGAAATTTGAGGGATTTTTTAAAAGAGAAAACTTCTACATGAATCAGAGGCTTTCAGATGGAATTTGATGGGAGGCGAAGGGATGTTAAGGATTCAAACGACAAGAGTGAGTTCAAAGTGAAGATAGAAAGGAACTGTGTGAGACTGAAGAGATTGAGAGAAGAGAGAGAGAGAGAGTTTGGGAGATAACGAAATATTTTGACTTTTTCTAGATTTTCCCGCTTTTCATAAAAAGTTGAAAATTGTGTTGGGCCTTATTCGTTTGGGCTATACCCATTTAGGATAAGATATCTCATTCTTGGGCTCATATTTATTAATACCTTTTCAAGTTTTTTTGTTCTTAACACTCATGTTACAAAAACATGTTCGAGTAATACTTTTATGACTGTCTTGGTGTAAAACTCTATTCAACTCAAATCGTTCATTTAACTTGTATTCAACTTCCACTTTCTTTTGTTCATCAACTAATCAAGCCTAAAAAAAAAACTAATCAAGCCTACAAATTATCTATACAAACAACAGTTGACCAGTTTCATCAGACTCAGAGGATAAACCAAATTAACATGAATGATTATACATACCCTCATTATAGGATAAGCCTTATTTCAGCATGTTCTTAATGAGTCTTCTCTTGTGTGTTTGTTTGTTTGTTACATGTACGTTTCTTTATTTTGCTTCTATTGGGGGCATTGACATTTCTGGAAGTTTGTCACAGGTGATCCCTGTTTTGTATACCAAAGCCTACGCGTTGTACAATTAATTGTACAAAGGAAAGCACAAATCAAACTGTAGCGATTAGTAAAATTAACGGGGCTAAATTGAATAGAAACTCAAACAATAGGGGGTCCTTTTGTAAAATTCTATTTTTATTGTCCCCTTCGTTTAGCTCTCTCTAGAACAACAATTGCTAAAATTCGAATCATCTCCCACGGTCCCAACCTCTCTAATCTCACCGGTATCATCTCACCTCTCGCGCATTTTCCGTTTTGGTAAAAATCCGAAAGTTCCGATCATGAATTCGAACTACGGGAAGGGATCATCGGGATCATCAATCAACACCTTCGATTTCGATCTCGGCCTCGGATCTACTAACAAAGGCAAGCCTCTCAACGGCCAGAAGAGCCAAACACCTTCTTATACGCAGCCGAGACCTGCGTTTCAGCCTGGCAAGCCTTCGTGGACGCATCAGCCCGCGCCGAAGCAGACGACGATCAGATCTGAGATCGGAGGTCCGACTTCTATGGTGGGGGATATTCACGGCAAGACGTGGAGTAGCTCCGGATCCGGATCCGGATCGGGTTCTGGTATTGGGATTGTTAACAAGGATCCGAGCTTGTTCGGAGATCTTGTTGGATCGGTTATTGGGAAATCCAGCTCAAACGTGCCGTTGAAGCAAGCTCCTCCTGCTTCCGCTTCCAAGAAGGGATCTTATTCCATGGGGAATCTTGCTGATGCTTTGCCTAAAACTAGTGGTGGTGGTGGTGGTGGTGGTGGTTGGGGTTATAATAGTAATCCGGGTGGCGTTTCGGGTGTTAATGCTAGTAACAGTATCAAGACTCCAAATCTTGGAGGTCCTTCGATGAAAAGTATGTCTGGGAGTAATCTAAATGTTTCATCTAATAGTGATCCGTTTGGTAACTTGGTTGGTTTCGGATCGAAATCATCGGGAAGTATCAATTCGGAGAAGGCTAAGAACAATGCAAAGAGTGATGATGCTTTTGGGACATTCCAATCTTCTGGTGGTGGTTTTGCGGGTACAACCACCACTAAGAACGATGAATTTGGCGGTTTCCAGAACGCCTCCGCCGCGGCGAAGTCAGACTCATTCTCATCAGGCGGGTTTACGAGTGGCTTTGACGCAGCTTCGAATGTTGGTTTTGGTGTGGGTTCAAGTGGTAAAGATGATGATCCGTTAGGAGTGTTTTCTAGTTCCACGGCTGCTGCGGCTACGCCGCAGAGTGAAGATTGGGGGTTTGAGAGTTTCGACGGTGGGGCTGATTCTGGCGGTGGTTCAACTACTGAGCTTGATGGGTTGCCGCCACCTCCACCGGGTGTGTCAGCTGCGTCGGCTAAGAGTAAGGGGATTGATAACCAGAGACAAGGTCAGTATGCTGATGCCATCAAGTGGCTTTCTTGGGCTGTGATTCTCTTGGAGAGAGCTGGCGATGAAGCGGGGTCTGCGGAAGTGCTTTCGACTAGGGCTTCGTGTTACAAAGAAGTCGGAGAGTATAAGAAAGCTGTATCTGATTGCACAAAGGTATGTGTTTATTGGTTGTTGATTATTGCACATTAAAGAAAGACTCATTGGGCTTTGGATGGATTATAGTCATGTTTCATAAACTAACTCTCTAGCTGTAGCTGTAGGTTGTTTATGTATTTGCTTTAGCTATAGCCTATGGGGTTACAGACTCTTGAGTCTTGACTGAACCAATACTGTTTCGAGTTTCGAGGGATCTGAAACTAGGCAAAATGATATTTTACGGTTCTTGTGGAAACTAAGATAGATAATACGACTTGTTTTTGCTATGTGAATATAGAAGTTTTAGAGTCCTGAATCGTTACATTGTGGTAGTTTATTGATTGTTGCTAACGCTTTGCTCTGTAGACAATTTCTTTTAAACTGAGAACAAGAGCAGATATGATATATGAAACATATGTACTTCTTTGTGTTTGTTTTGTTTTAAAACGGAATTGCAGGTACTTGACCACGACGAGAAGAACGTGACGATTCTGGTACAACGAGCACTTTTATACGAGAGCATGGAGAAATACAAACTGGGAGCTGATGACCTAAGGATGGTTCTCAAGATCGATCCTGGTAATAGAATTGCTAGAAGCACCGTTCACCGCCTAACCAAAATGGCTGGGTGATTGATTGATCAACCTTCATACACAGATATTTCCTTAATTGTCTCGAAAGATAAAAAGAAGACCCTTCAAATCTTCTTCTATTATCTTCCTCTCAATACCGTTTCGTCTCTCATCAATGGACCTTGCGTATGTAGTCGTTCTGAGTTTTTCTATGGGTTATTAATATTCTATAATGGGTCAGTTCATGCGGTGTGTGGGTTCTGATTTATGAATGTATTGTCATCAATTGATTCTCTTATACATTACTTTTTGTTCTAAGATTCTCTTTTACATAACATTTTTGATATCACGAAATATTTGACCATAAATGATTTTATATAATTTAACTCTGCTGGCTGTTATTTTATTACAGTTGAGAATTTTGGATAACATTATTGGGAATTTTGTTACACGGTCGATAGCATCGTGAATAAAATGCAAGATACCTGTAAGTCACGTCTTAACAAAAAAAACCTTACTTTCGAGAAACGTGGCATGATGAACGTGAAGCGTCCAAGGCATATAACATAGATTAACCACCGAATATCATTCCTAAAGTTATAATTATACGTTAGAATTATATTCTTTTTTATATTTCCAGATAGAGATTAGGTATTCAGAAACAGATAGAATTCCCCAGTCACGTGTAATAACCATTGATTACCAATTTACCCGACGCTCGTGGACACAACACTTTAGCATCCATTAATAAATATACTAGATTAGTTACATTGTCATACGTTTTTTCATCAGACCGCCAATAGAAGCTTATAGTTTTGTCGTTATTTGAATTGATTTTGTCGTAACCGGCGTGTATTGAGGAGCAAATAACTATAGCGTATAATTTTAATATAAAGTTTAAATACACATATACGTAACTTTATACTATACAAGCTATTTTTTATAAACATATAATATAACCCAAGCATTTATTTCTCCTATAAATGCGTTTCTATCTCCACCGCATTCATCTCCCCCTCTTGAAACCCAGCATCAGAAAAAAAGAAAGCAAACAGAGAAAAATGTGTGGCGGTGCTATAATTTCCGATTTTGCTCCAAACGTCACCAAGGCCAAGGGTAGGAAACTCACGGCGGAGGAACTCTGGTCAGAGCTCGATGCTTCCGCCGCCGATGATTTCTGGGGTTTCCACTCCACCTCCAAGCTTCAGTCCACCAACCAACAAGGTACGTTTTAATTATTCATATACATAAAATCATAACAATATATGAAACTTGTTTTACAAAAAAAAAAAAAAAACAATATATGAAACTTTGAGAAAACTAACCATTATTTAGAATATAGTTTATAAATTACAAAAAAAGGAAAAAAAAACATTTCTAGACACTGCATGACTATGATGTGATTAAAAGATTTTTTGAAAATATTGTCTGGGTTATAGTTTTTAGTAAATTAAAAAAAAAAATCCACATACTATTTCTAGAAGTTACATGAATATGATGATAAAAGATTCTTTAATTAATACTATTTGGGGGTTGGTGGTGAATATTTATTTGTAATTTTTCACTACATCTGGGGTTAAATCTGTAAATTTACATCTTTAACTTTAGGAGTGACGTTGAAAGAAGAGGCGGCGGAGAACAAGGAGCCGGTGNAAAAAAAAAATCCACATACTATTTCTAGAAGTTACATGAATATGATGATAAAAGATTCTTTAATTAATACTATTTGGGGGTTGGTGGTGAATATTTATTTGTAATTTTTCACTACATCTGGGGTTAAATCTGTAAATTTACATCTTTAACTTTAGGAGTGACGTTGAAAGAAGAGGCGGCGGAGAACAAGGAGCCGGTGACGGAGAAACGGAGGAAGAGGAAAAACGTTTACAGAGGGATACGTAAACGACCATGGGGAAAATGGGCGTCAGAGATTCGAGATCCAAGAAAAGGCGCCAGAGTCTGGCTCGGGACGTTCAACACGGCGGAGGAAGCCGCCATGGCTTACGACGTTGCGGCGAAGCGTATCCGCGGCGACAAAGCCAAACTCAACTTCCCAGAACTTCTCCACCATCCTCTAACATCGTCTCCGGTATCAGAAGTTCAGCCTCCGGCGAAGAAGCTATGCGTTGTGTCTGAGAGCGAGTTGACTCAGCCGAGTTTCCCGGTGGAGTGGGCTGGAGACGAGTTTCGACTGGATTACGATCTGAAACAGCAGATATCGAGCTTGGAGTCGTTCCTTGAGCTGGATGGTGACACGGTGGAGCAACCGAGTCAGCTCGGCGAGGCAGTCTCCGAGGTGGATATGTGGATGATTGATGATGTCATCGCGTCGTATCAGTAAAAAAAAAAAACGTAATATAAAAGTAGAAATATTTAAATAAAGTTTGTAATATAACTGCCGTTATGTTTTTAAGGTTTGTAATGTTGATGGACTGAGCGACTGATGTTATTATCTTTTGTCGTTTGTAATCTGTGGCGTTCTCGTGACTCATTTCGACTTTCGAGCGTTACAGTTACGGTTTGTGGTATTGTTATTCTCTTTTCTTTTTCTTTTTTGTGAACAAAGTATCAGCATCCTGTAAATACAAAATTGTAATTATTTTATAATCAAAGTATTTATAGGTCTAGGTCTTTAGTTTTGACCTAATATTTCTAAGTTACTAAAACAAGAAGTTAACATTTTCACTGAAATATGTTATGAATTAGTATAGTAGGAAAATACGAACTACCTGTCTTTTTGTTTGCTTTCCCGATTCTTATACATGCGGATTATGCTCGTGTACATATGAAAAGGATTATATGATGGGGTTTTTTGAATATATTTGTTTTTGTTTTTTTCTTTTCTTTTGAAAAAGGGTTCAATATACTCCATCTGTTTCAATATAAGTGTCACTCTACAGCTATGCACACGGATTAAGTAAACAATTAATTTTACATATTTCCTATATAAAAACAAAATTACCCACACATCTAACCATATTTTAACCAATAGAAAAACAAATTACATAATAAAATTAATAAAGTTTGCATTGAAAACCGAAAACGACACTTATTTTGTAACATAAAAAATTCTCTACAACGACACTTAATATAAAACGGAGGGAGTATTTGTTTTTCATTGCGAATAAGGTAATCTTAATTAATGATAAAACGTCTGAGCCGTTGCTTGTACATGGAAAATCTGAAAATTGGAAATATCTATCTTTTAACAATTTAGAAAGAAACAATCGATATCAACAAGTTATTTGTTTTCTTTTAAAAATAACTCGCATATAAGAGTAACTTTCAAAAGGGGCAGAGGGGACTGAAAGATTTTGGTGGATCTAATCACTAAGAAATCAACTAGATTTGGGTTATTACAATTTCATCCTCGACATATGGCAATGGAGCAAAAAATTGAAGATGTAAGGATCATATAGGTGCCAAGAGAATACAATAAACCGGCGGATCTACTTTCAACCAAGTTATACATGTAATCAACGATGCATTTCATTGTGACTATATATTGTTTTATCAATATAATCAATTTAGAAAAAAAAACGGTATTTTGAGCGTAAATTGTTATAATTGCTTAACTTTCTGAAGTTTATAAACACTGTTTAGTGATTATTATGTGATAAACTTTGTCTAAAACGTGATGTACGTAGTTAAGATGCTAAACATTTGTTACCATGTAAATATGTTTCACCCATAAACAAAGCTTATCGATGTTTCATCCGTGATTGATCTTGGAATGCAGAACCACATAGACATTTTAAAGTAAATTTCAAATGCTTTTATAATTTTGAGAACTATAGTATATAATTTGTGAATATTATTATTTTTAATTAAAAAATGATACTAACAAATATCGTACTTTACCGAGGACCGACCATGTCCCCTGTCCTTAAACTAATTTTTTATTCGTTAAATTTGAATCTATTCATTATTCGTCTCGATTCGATCCTAAACTTTCGAATATCCGTAAACTTTCAAATCAAAACAAATATTAAAAATTAATATCCGTTAAAATCGAAGCAAATCACAAATATTAAAATTTTGGGAAACAAATATCCGAACCGATCCAGAAATATATAAATACATGTATATTTTTATTATATTTAAATTTTTAAATATATAAAATTATTATTATAGCTTAAGAATTGACTAATTATATTCACATTATTACTTATATATATTAGATAAAAAGAAGAGAAAATTACAAAAATTATAAAAAACTTAAGTTTTGTGTTATTATAACTAGGAAACCACCCCGCGCGTAAACGCGCGGGAGAAAAGATGTTTTTTTTTAAATTAATTTTTATATAATTTATATTTGTTAGTCAATCATTTTGAATCATTTAATAAACTAATTATTTTGTACGAAGATCAATACTTAAAAATAATCTTATATAATAGAAGAGTGAAAATATAATTTGCGTTTGAAAATGTATAAATTTAAATGTTATGTGTTTAGCATAACAATATTAAGTAAACTTTAATATTAAAGTCGCAGTCATTTTCTTTTATCTTTTTATATATGAGAAGACAAACTTTTAAAATTTGTTGAAATGATGGAACAGTTTAAATATTTTAATTAAATAATATAATATGTTTTAAAACACTGTAATTATCATGCAAAGAACGACATTTTTAAATCTATGAGACTTAGTACCTCCATACAAACTGGGTTAGAAATACAAAAAAAAATGGACTTTATTAGAAGTAGAATAAGAGATTACACAAAAAAAAAATTAGGTTGTTTTCTTACAGCCAGATTGGTTTGGATATGGTAGTTTAGTTTCACTGAAACTAAATCTATTAATTTATTTTTGCAGACACCACATTAAATTTTTAAAGATCGTTTAAAACTATATAATGAATCAAACATTATATTTAAGAGTACTAAGAATCATACCTATATTAGAAAGAAAAAAAACACATAAATTTTCTTAAAAAATTGCATCTGTAAAACGTTCTATTTTTAGTAATCTGAAAAGGTACATTGATAGATTATCAAGAGTTGTGTTTTGTTTTAAAATGAATATTTTCAAGAGTTGCGAGGAAAAAAAAAAGTTCAACCAAATACATTTTTAGGACCATTAGATAGAACCATAATAATTACAACCACGAGACTGAAACTCTTCAAAAAAAAATTTAAAAATCAAGAATTAGGGAAAAGTATGACTCTTCAAATTAAAGAGATGTGTTGTTTGAAAAAAAAAACTGCTCATAGCAATTTTAGTTTAAGTATAAAAAAATTATTAATACCAATAAAAGAAAAAGACCAATTATAACCAAAGATTGTAATCCTTCAAATATGAAAAAATATGACTCTTTCATGTAAAAAGATGTGTTGTTTGAAAAGAATATATGTTAATTCCATAAATATCGTATGTCTAAAAAAACATTTCTTAGGACAATTGCATGAAAAAACAAAACAATGGTTGAAAAATTGTATCTTTTCATAATAAACTGAAATATATTACTTTAAAAGTTGCATCTTTCATTATAAAAATAATTGTGTATTTCAAAAAAAAAAAAAGTTGAAAGGTTGTATCTTTTAATAAGAACCAAATTATATTAGTTTAAAAGTTGCATCTTTTCATTACTAAACAAACTTTATGTTTCAGATAAAATAGTTTAAAAGTATTTAAAAGAGAGTATAAGAATTGTGTCTTCTCAAAATAACAATTGTTGAAAGGTTGTATATTTTCATTAAAAAAAACTTAAATATATTAGTTTAAACATTGCATCTTTTCATTATAAAAATAATTTTGTATTTAAAAAAAATCTATTATTTTAAAAGTTGCATAAAAATTTTATTTGGACCATTATATGAAAAACAAAACAATTGTTGAAAGCTTGTATCTTTTCATAAGAACTGAAATATATTAGTTTAAAATTTGCATCTTTTCATTATAAAAACAATTGTGTCTCAGAAAAAAATAATTTAAAAATATTTAAAATAGTTATAAGAGTTGCGTATTCTCATAATAAAAATCTACTAATTAAACAATCTTGATTAATTTCAAAGGCTGTGAATGCCGAATAAAAAGAAAATTGAGACTCTTTATAAAAATGTCTATAAGTGTGAAATGTTGAAAATACAAAATAAAATGAAAAGTTGTGTCTATTTATATCTTAGTTTTAAAGATTGTGTATGTTTTCATAAGAACTAAAATATATAAGTTTAAAAGTTGCATCTTTTTGTTATAAATAGAATTGTGTTTTTTTATAAAATAATTTCTATTATTTTTAAAATTGCATCTTTTTCATTATAAAAAAGTTTGTGTCTCATAAAAATAGTTTAAGAGTATTTAAAAGAGGTTGTAAGAATTGTGTCTTCTCATAATAACAATTTTTGAAAGGTTATATCTCTTCATAAAAAATAAAATATATTAGTTTAAAAGTTGCATCTTTTCATTATAAAAACAATTGTGTCTCAGAAAAAATAATTTAAAAATATTTAAAATAGTTATAAGAGTTGAATCATCTCATAATAAAAATCTACTAATTAGAACAATCTTGATTAATTTTAAAGTCTGTGAATGCCAAAAAAAAAAAAAAATTGAGACTCTTAATAAAATGTCTATTAGTGTGAAAGGTTGAAAATACAAAATAAAATGAAAAGTTGTGCCTCTTTAAAGAAATAACTGAAAGATTGTGTCTCTTAATAAATAAAATGAGAGGTTGTCGCTTAATAAAAATCTCAACTAATTCTAAAGGCTGTGAATGTCAAATAAAATAAAAATTGTGTATCTTAATAAAAAATCCCAATTAATTCTAAAAGTTGTGAATGTCAATCAAGATGAAATGTTGTGACTCTTAATAAAAATATCAATTAATTTGAAATGTTGTAAAGGTAAAATAAAATGAAAGTTATTTCTCTTAATAAATAAAATGAAAGGTTGTGTCTCTCAATAAAATAAAATGAAAAGATGTGTCTCTTAATAAATAAAATGAAAGATTGTGTGTCTGAATAAAAATACCAATTAATTCTAAAGTTATGTATCTTAATAAAAATCTCAATTAGTTCCAGAGGTTGTGAATGCCAAATAACATGAAAAGTTGTAATTCTTAATAAAAACACCTATTAATGTGAAATATTGTAAAGGCAAAATAAAATGGAAAGTTGTGTCTCTTTAAAAAAAAGAAGGAAAAATTGTGTTTCTTAATAAATAAAATGAAAGGCTGTGTATCTTAACAAAAATCTCAATTAATTCTAAAGATTGTGATGCCAAATAAAATAAAAAGTTGTGTATCTTAATAAAAATCTCAATTAATTTGAAAGGTTGCGAATGCCAAATAAAATTAAATGTGGAGTATTTTTGAAAAATATATTTTATGATTTGTTATATACCCTTAAAAGTGTCTTTTAAGGAAACAAATAAATAATTAACCTTCTCTGATTATTTTTATATTTAATTTTAAAAATGGTTTGCATTTAAATTTGGTTAACAAACTTTATAAAGTAGTTCCATAATTTGTTTAACACGATACACCTTGGATTGTATATTCATTTCTATAGGTGTGTAGTATTTACCATCAGGAGTCATGCCTTTCCATTTTTCAAAAAAAGAAAAGAATTGATGTTAGTGTCTATGTGCTTTCATTACCATACATATGAATGTATATATTTTTATACTTATTACAAGGNACAAACTTTATAAAGTAGTTCCATAATTTGTTTAACACGATACACCTTGGATTGTATATTCATTTCTATAGGTGTGTAGTATTTACCATCAGGAGTCATGCCTTTCCATTTTTCAAAAAAAGAAAAGAATTGATGTTAGTGTCTATGTGCTTTCATTACCATACATATGAATGTATATATTTTTATACTTATTACAAGGTACAATAGAACTTTAAGGCTGTTTCATATACACTTCTTTTTGAGCCATCGATCCATATCATGGATCATATTCCATAGCACTCGACCATGAACAGTATGTTTACCACTCATGATGGCTCGGCCTTAACTCTAATGACTTGCATCCATAAGTATCAATAATATTATGTTCGTTCACTTTTGGTAACATTATGTTTGCACCCTTTCGGTGATGTTATATTCACACCTTTTTGATGACGTTACATTCTCACCATTTTGGTGATGTTACATTCACACCCTTTCGGTGATGTTCCATTTGCACCCTTTCGGTGACGTTACATTCACACATTTTCGATCCCGAACCACTCGCACTCTTTCGGTGCCGAACCGTTCGCACCCTTTCGGTGCCGAACCGTTCGCACCCTTTCGGTGCCGAACCGTTCACACCCTTTCGGTGCCGAGCCGTTCGCACCCTTTCGGTGCCGAACCGTTCGCACCCTTTCGGTGCCGAAACGTTCGCACCCTTTCGGTGCCGAAACGTTCGCACCCTTTCGGTGCCGAACCGTTCGCACCCTTTCGGTGCAGAACCGTTCGCACCCTTTCGGTCCCGAACCGTTCGCTCCCTTTCGGTCCCGAACCGTTCGCACCCTTTCGGTCCCGAACCGTTCGCACCCTTTCGGTCCCGAACCGTTCGCACCCTTTCGGTCCCGAACCGTTCGCATCATTTCGGTCCCGAACCGTTCGCACCCTTTTGGTCCCGAACCGTTCGCACCCTTTCGGTCTCGAACCGTTCTTTCGGTCCCGATCCGTTCGCACCCTTTTGATCCCGAACCGTTCGCACCCTTTCGTTCCCGATCCGTTCGCACCCTTTCAATCCCAAACCGTTCGCACCCTTTCGGTCCCGAACCGTTCGCACCCTTTCGGTCCCGAACCGTTCGCACCCTTTCGGTCCCGAACCGTTCGCACCCTTTCGGTCCCGACACGTTCGCACCCTTTCGGTCCCGACACGTTCGCACCCTTTCGGTACCGACACGTTCGCACCCTTTCGGTCCTGACACGTTCGCACCCTTTCAGTCCCGTCACGTTCGCACCCTTTCGGTACTGACACGTTCGCACCCTTTCGGTACCGACACGTTCGCACTCTTTTGATCCCGATACATTCGCACCCTTTCGGTCCCGTCACATTCGCACCATTTCGGTTTCGACACGTTCGCACCTCTTGGGTCACGGCACGTTCGTACCTCTTGGTTCATGACACATTTGTACCTCTTGGGTCACGACACATTTGTACCTCTTGGGTCACGACATGTTCGTACCTCTTGAATCACGATACGTTCATACCTCTTCGGTCACAACACATATAAATATTATCTTCTAAAAAGTCAATATTAATATTAAAAACTTATGAAAGGGTATGACAAATAAGATGGTGGTTATTCAAAGGAAACATATGTCTTTTCAATGAAAAGTTGCCAAATATTTGATGACATCATCAATCATATGAAAAGGTTTCTTTACGTCCATTAGATTTTAAATTCAAATTAATTATGACCATTGGATTAAATTTTTATTTTCCTATAATAATTTGTTGATGTCACTTTCAGATTGTTATTATATATAGATTGTTAATTTAAATTTAAAAATTATAAAATATGTAAATTCACTACCTCTTTATCTTTTATTTTATATATCATGCAAATAATATTTTACAAAATAATTTATATCAAATTTTTAAGATTATTTGTAACGGATGAGATATTAGTAAGTATTCGTAAATATTCGTAAATATATATTCATTTTTTAGATATCTGTTTTTCTGAATATCTGTATTTTTCTGAAGCAAAACAAATACCAAAATCATATATTCGTAATATAAGAAGCAAATCACAAATATCTTAGAAAATTTGAATATTTGATATGCGTCACCCCTAGATGCATGAACCTCGAAGCCTAATTGGTCTAATAAGAATTTAAGTGGGTCCCGACAATGTTTCCATAGATTGAAAGAATCTATACTAGTTTCTCGAAAAGTCTATTTGTCTTTTTTGTACATCGAAAAGTCTATTTGTTTCACGTTTAATTAGGATCATTAGTAATTTAATGATCGATTTTATTCGGTGTGATTGATAATTTACTCATATTAAATTAACCGATATAATACAACCCATTGAATGTTTATCTTATCTAGTACATACATCATGATAATGTTCAGACCGTATCGAGATATTAACCATTGTTCACATGACCTATCATATAGTAGTCAAATTAACTCAAGTCAGTAAACGTTTTATATTCATGTATATCCAACCAATCATGTCTTGCAACAAGTTATATGTGTTAATTGTTATAACCAGTAGCCCACTCGATTGATTTTTGTTGAGTTGCATTTTCTACATACATTGAGTACAATTGCTTCTCTCTAGCAGTTTCAATCGTTATCCTTTTCTCCCCACTTGTAAGATGTAAGATCCGTACTGTGTATTAACAAATACGTAGAATAAGGTTAACGTATAGAGTATGATACATGTATATTATATTGTCAGATACAATGCATATGTATGTATTTTTGTAAAAGCGTATGTATGTATTACACAACATTTTCGGTTTTTCATTTATTTTGTCTTCTTCGGCAATCAGCCAATCAATGTAAACTTTTTTAAAAAATATATCGTGGAGGCAATCATTTTCAGTGCATTTTGTTTAATACTAACCAGAGATTTGAACCTCAAATTGTATTTTTATGATTTTAAAAAAAAAAAAATTAATTGCCTCTTTCACCTTGTACCAGTACTAACAAGCATAGTAGAAAACCGTTGTCCCTTTCTTGTAATTGACGGAAAAAAAATTATTGTAGTATTTTCAGTTTCTACATTCACCTTATGCAAAACAAATCATCTTAAATTCTTAAAATCACGACAAAACATCTTCTCTCGGTTTACGTTAGTGACATTATGAGGCTAAATGAGTTGTCACAATTTTTTCTTTTTAAAATCTATTGCAAGAGAAGCTAAAATGCGGACTGATAGGCTAACCTAACATGCAGTATAAGCACCAAGCCATGTGTTTTTGTTGTTGTTGTAATTTCTGCTGTGCTAAACGCAGAGGTGGATCAGTTAACACATGTTATTTTATATTACAGCTATTTTGCTACAATTTACAGAAGCTTAGGTTCATTTGGCTTACTTTCCCCTCTACTGACTAAGTTCAACTCCATGAGTTGTAGTTTTTACTGTATTTTTCATTTATTAATTTTTATTTTGGACCAAAAACCAATTTATGATATCCCTAAAATCTAAGTCTGGGTCTGCTACTGGCTAAATGTTAACGACAGAGCCTAAGTTAACCTATGAATGAATGAATCATATGTTACCCACAACTATATACAATGAGCCAAAACAATGGTCCATTAGAAGACGAAGAGGCCGAAGAAACGAGTCGAGTGATACATATTTCACTGACCCAAAAACACTATAGTTCAATCTGATCATTGGATCCAGATTCATGTTTTCTCTTTCTAATTGGGTTCCATAGGACATGTTGATCAATAGTATGGTTGATATCCTTATTAATATACTGTAATTTGCATTTGTATCAGGATAGAATATTTGGTACATGAAGGATGGTTTCATTATTAGGAAACCCTCCAGGATTCACTCCCGTGCTTGTGCAATGAGTTTAAACGAGGAAAATATAAAAGGTTGTCACTCTGGATATAGTAAAAACTTCTCATGAAATTTCCTACCTGAAAGATCTTTTTGTCGTACATTGTCTATTGAAAACCACTTTAACGTTTCTTGGTCTTTAGGCAAGAGAAACAGCATAAGAGAGGCGAAGCTTGGGACCAAAGTCTTGTTGTGGATAACGAGAATGAGTGTGTTGAGGCGTTCTCTTAGCAAGTTCCGTGAGGCAAACAAGATCGACGAGCACGTGTACCACGATATGTACATAAAAGCCAAGTGTAACGTGTTCAAAAACAAGTGTGTGCTACAAGTCCAAGGCCGAGAAGACACCCTCTAAACAGTAACGTGCTAAGAGCATCTCCAACCCCACTCCATAATTTTACTGCAAAATGGAGTGGGGTTGGAGATGCTCTAAGAACAAGGCTAGCAAAGAAAGAAAGTTTGATAGGAGAGGAATGTTTGGCTAAAAAAACCAGAAGTGGAGAAACAACAGTTACATCTTGAGTTTACTTCTAGAAGACTGATTTTTTAAAATGATTTCGCCAAAGATTATTTGCTTAACAAATACTTTTCTTGTTTATAAATTCATCACATTTTCTCTTCTCACACTCTCGTTCACCAATTTGTATGAATCCATTGTCTTAAAACTTGAAAGAAGCTGAGCAATATTATTAACACCCCTATGTTGGGAGGGATTAAGCAACCAGCTCTTGCCCTTAGCATCCGGGATTAGTAGGGTCTTTCCCAAATTCAGCAAATGAAAGACACATTGGGCTGAACTTTGTCTCAATATGTTAGTATTATCCCTCGGTTCCATTTGCATTTGGAGTTTATCAAACCTCTCCTTCTTTTAGGTATTTAGGAGTATTGCACTTATTTTTGATGTTTTATAATTCAAATAAGCTAATAATTTTTATTTAATTCATAAACATAAAAAAAAACAATCCTAAACTGAAAAAAAACATATAATCAAATAATATAAGTTTATACTATTTATTTAACACTTTATGGTGAACTGATGGAGGAAGTTTATGTGCCTTTTTTTTTCTGTGGAGAGGTAACACCACCACTGTTATCCGTTGCATTTATCGCTTTGATAGTTCTGTGGTCCTTGGCTTAGGGAGTAAATATGTGGTTAAGTTAACTGAAATGTCTGGTGAATTTGTACTCGAGAATCAGTTAAACAAAGAGACACAATGGAACAGTAAAACCTAAAAAGGATAATTCCTTATCTAGAAATCCACTAAGGATCGAAGACAAGGTGAATCAGGGTCTAGAGACTGAAGAATCACTCCAAAGATACCAAATTCGATGATGGTGATTGAGGACGAGAATGGTCGTGATGATAGAGAAAAAGAAGCTTTGAAGAAGAATATAAATTGTATTTTGATCGGTTCCTTCCCAAATGGCTAAAAGTTTACATATAACTAGAGCTTAATTTGCGCTGTCGTACGAGATTAATTTTAACAATTTTATAAATTATTTAATAACATTTTCAAACATAAAGATAGAAATTATTAAGATAATTTTAGGTTTATAAGAATCTATCCGAACCTAGAAAATCCTATTCGTATCTCGTACAAAAATTTATAATATCCTAACTAAGTAATTCTAAAATCCAAAACTTAAAAATCGATATGTATCCGAACGTATATTTGAATGTCCATGTTTAATTGATTTTGTAACAATAATATTTTTTTCTTAAACGATTTGAATTTATACTTATAGAACAATTCCATTCAAATATGTGAAACTATTAGGATTAACACAACAAATAGCAGTAAATTATTACAATAACTGCAATTAATAAAGTAATTTAAAAGAGTAAAAAAATGTATTAGATATAATAAAATAACTAAAAATAATTACATTATGTTTTGTATTTTTATAATAAATACTGTCAAGTTATTGAAAAGAATAAATTAATAAAATAGTTAAAACAAGTGAAAATAGTGAAAAGTAATAAATCCCTTGAAAATAAGATTTTGTATATTTACAATAAATGCTGTAAAATTATAATCAGATTTTGTACATTTACAATAAATGCTGTAAAATTATTCGAAAAGAATCATTTAATAAAATAGTTAAATTGTGTGAAAAGAAGGTTACTTATATTTTGTACTTTCGTTTTTAAAATAACTAGGTGAGGATCATGTGCGATGTCGCATGGAGACTTATTTTATAAAAATAAATATACTGTATACTTATATTTTTATAAAAATATTTTTATTTTTTTCAATGAAGTCCTTGTAACATATGTAAAATATGTATTACATGTGTTTTGTTTCAAAAACAAAAAACATGTGTCTATATTCATTTATAGATGCTATTTATAATTTCAGATTATAATTCAAGTTATTTCAAATCATAAATACAATTTAATATATTTAAAACTAATTGAAAGAAGCAAACACTTTAAACCTAATCATTTATTAAAATAATAAAGTAAATTATGATGATGAGTATGACATATATAATTTATTTGATGTCGTGTAAATATATATGTAACGTCAAAATATGATTATTTGGAAATGTTAAGAGATTTTCTCCACTAACATATTCTTTTGGTAAATTACACATGCATTCTTTTTTTCCTCATTATTTGTGTATTTTATAAAAAAAAAAATTTCATATATTATGATGGTTGCAGCTATGTAACTATGAAATTTCTGTTCTTTAAAGAAATTTGGACAATTCAGATATCAAAACTCTTTGATATTCATCATATATCAGTGTTAAATACAGCTATGCATAAATACAAAAATTACATATTTTCTAATTTATCTTGGAATATATAGATTAATCTCTACGAAAAGATCAAGTTTTCTGATAAATGTTATTTATACTTAAATTTAGTACTTTTACTGTTGTTTAAAATATGTAACAACGTTAAAAAATTATACTAATGTATCCAAAATTTGTTTTCATGGTACATAGGCATCAGTAATAATTTAATAAAATTTTATATACCACGTAAATTAAAGAACTAAACCCTATAAAATTTGTATATTCTAAAAAAATTGGAACAACAGAGGTGTCAAACATCATTGATCTTCATCATATATCTATGTTAGATGCATCTAGCCATTAAAAAGAAAATTACCATTGTTTCCACTTTATTTTAAAATATGTGGGTTAACCCCTACAAAAAGATCGAGTTTTTCGATAAATATTATATATTGATGTTTAACCTATTTCATGTTGCCTAAAAATAGCTAATCACATTATAATTATATTAATTTATGTTAAACTTATTTTCATAGTAGATGGATAACATTTATAATATTTTAATGTGTAATTTAATAAAACTTCATAATCATCTAATTCAATGAACAACAATCCCTATAAAATTTGTAATTTCTGGAGACACAGAGACAAATAAGATCTCATACCTCTTTAATTCTCATCTCTGTCATTGCATGCTATATATACTAAATTTTAGTCTCATTAATGTTTTTTTAAAAAATACCTAAGAATTAATTAACAGATTTTTCCAAAAAATTCTATTTGTACTTAAGTTTAAAATATCTAAATTATTTTTTCCAAAGAATAGTATGTTTTGGTATAGTATTCCATAAGAATTATAATGATTCATCATCAAATGCTACAATTACCAAAAACTACAATAGTTCATCCTTACATATTGCAAGGGTTCATCATCAAAAACTTAAATGGTTGATAACCAAAAGTTGCAAGGTTTTATTTTAATAAGTTGAAACTATTCATCCAGAAAATTACAGTAGTTCATTTAAATGGTTACAAAGATTTACATAAATTTCCAAAAATCATTCTCTATTTAAGTGTAATTAGATATCTAGTAAATATATAATACATATATGAAAATCATGCAAAATTTTAAAAATGCACATATATAAAAAAAACTAGGTTTACATTTTGTTGGTGCTTATCTACTATGAATAATATTGTCAAAATAGTTCAAATATTTGATTTGAAACCGAATAAACGAAACCGAATCAGAATTAAAAATATATTGAAGTTTTAAGAAAATATTAAACTCATATATTTAATATAATATTATAAATAATTAAATTACGCAACATACCGATTAACTCAATATTGTAAGATGATTTATAAGATTTTTCAAATGCATACAAATTAGATATGCAAAATAACTAAAACACAATTCATTAAAAATATCCACAAGTTTTAGAATGAAAAGATACACTTTAGACACTCTAACAATCTCTTCAAAATTTATGTATGTTTTATAATGCAAAAAAAAAACTCTTTACATATTTTTACAGTTTCTTATAAACGATTGAATTTTTAGGATGAAAAGAGATATCATTAGAAAAATATATCTTTAAATATTTTGATAACTTCATATAAACTAATTCAATTTTGAGGGATACAAATACACATATTTTGACATGTTTTGAATTCCCCAAGATTTATAAATTTTCTCTGTATTAATATTGACATTTTATTAATATTAGTAAACTACATGGATTCTTAAAAACATATGGAACACTTAGCCATATAATTAGTTATTAATTAATCATTTTAATTCTTTCATAAACCATAATTGTTTGTCAAATAATTAAAAAATTAACTACCATTCTATTATTTGTCACCTTTAAATAATTTAAATAGTATATTTTCAAAAATAAAATATATTTAGTAAATTTTCACATAATTAACTGTGATTTTTCACCAACAAAATTATAACCGCCACAAAAAAATTTAGAGTAAGTAAACCGCATGCATAAATAACATTTTCATTCCTCGGAATGTTAATATGCATGCACACGTGAACATAAACAAATTTCATAAAGCACATTCATATATTTATTGTAAGGCAAAGCAATCATTCATGCATTACTATCAGAAATATTCGAGAACAAAAGAAAACAAATTTCAAGCACTTATACAACCATTGCACTTGTTCGTTTATGTATCAAAGTTTACATAACCTTAAACTAACAACAACACATTTTTCCAGATTTACAAAAAAAAAACAAGAAAAAAAAATCCAGAAACTTAAATGTCAAATACAACATTTCCAGATGTGGTGTGTTTATACATGGTTATGAATGTACACTTAAACAAATGTATTATGTTTAAGCAACATGATTCTCTACTTTCTAATCAATATCAAAATTCTTAAATACATGCAAATCATCAATCATGCATAAAATGTTAGTTATGCCGGCTGTAAACTTGTGTCATGAACAGTCATTATAATGGATATAACCTAAGTGTCGCTGTCAAAATTTCTTATATAATCTAAGTGTATGAAATTATAGGATATGAATTATGTATTCATAGAATAAAGATAATCAAAAATATAGTTTTGTTTGAAAGAACATTTATTCT